ATGAGAAAGGTTGAGAACCACTGGTCCAATGCTTTCAATGTATCTTGGATTTCTTACCTCAGTATCGATCGTCCTTGATCATATGCTATTTCATGGAATCATTGCCTGTTGATTAGTTCTTTTTGGTACAGTGAGTCTATGTATTCCTTCTTCCTTGATTTAAGTAGTATCTACTGTTTTGCCTGTCCAGTTTTTAAGATGCACGGATATACAGACATTCACAGGCAAGAATGCTAACTGGTTGTAATGTCAGTGAAAAATTCTCAGGATAGTTGTTTAGCAGAACATGTTACAAAATTTCACAACTGCTAATTAATGCCCAAAGGGGCATATCACTCTGCTATAAACTTCAACCCAAAGGCATTCAGCTCACACTCTGTGGGGCAGCAAACCCAGCTCCCTGAGTTAAGCACCCAGAGACACCTCACTCTAGCAAGCCTCGGCAAAAGGCACTGGACTTCCGTAGATCAGCAAGCCCAAATTCCTCACTCAAGTGTCCAGGGGCACCCCACCCCACTGGCCAGTCTCCTGCACGAAAGCACTCACCTTAACTTGCTCTGTGCGTGGGGTTGTCCATCACTCTGTTCCATGCTGTTTCTGGTTCTGTTCTTTGATGGTATAGCTGTCATCTAGATCCAGAAGGTTCACTGCACAGGAAACTTGGGTCCAGAAGATGTGCTCCACTTCGGACTCTTGCTGATAATGAGATCTCTCCTCCTACTTCCCAGAGGGCTCATTTTATATGGGTCAGGATGGAACCCTAAGGATCCTATCCACAATTACTCACAGGTGAATCCTGTCAGTATCTTCTGCCACCTTCTTACCAGACCCATGCAGGGAAAGGTCGTTTGGTAGGAGTTGGAGACCTTGGCTGGAAAAGCCACATTAAATAATTCACTGCCCTGCATCTTCCATCTTCTTTTGATGCTTCCTGAATTGTTCAATATTTTGCCTATAAAATCTTGCAAAATTGCAACATCAGGCTTGAATTCGTTCTTCAATTCTTTCAGCTCAAGGTATGCTGTGCATTTTCTTCCATTTGGTTTTCTAACCCTGTATTTTCTTTATAACACTTTACTTTGTCTTCCTGAGTTGCCCTTTGAAATTTTCTATTCAACTCTTTGACTTAAATGATTTCTTCCATTTGTCCTACCTACTCCAGGACTAAGAACAATTTTGAGATCCACTTTCATCTTTTCTTTCTTTCTAAAAATAGTTTTATCGACATATACTTCACAGACCATACAATTCAATAGTTTGAATATATTAAATAGAGCCATGCAACCATCACCACAATTTTAGAACATTTTCTTCATTGTTGTACTCATTAATATTAGCTTCCCATACCCCCCACTCCACTTCCCCTAAGAAACGATTCATTTAATTGGTATCTTGGATTTCATAAAATGAAAATCACACAAACCCCCTTCCCCTTCCCCGCTCCCCCTGGCCCTGCAATAGCAATAACAAAATAAAACACAGAAAAATCTCAACCCAAAGGAAAGCATAAAATCACAAAAAACTAGAACAAAATGTAAATGGATCAAAAGAGAAGGCAAATAATAAGATGTTAACTTTTAACTTAGCTATGTCTGCATCATTCACTGACTGGTCCACTGTCTGAGGGAAAGGCCATTCGCATCTCTGGTCAATGAATGATCTGAGGGAAATCACTGGAGGCTTACTCTGCATGAGGAGTCTGAAAATGGCTTTGGGGCTTCCACAGTCATGCATAGCCTTCTGCAAACTGGATGCTCAAAAATTAAACTCTAATACAATTCCCTTCTAATCTTGGATTTTATGATTTAGAATTCTTGGATCACACAGGCTGGTGTGTTTCTTCAGTGTGGACCTATCTAAAACAACTGGGGATGAAAATACCATACTATCCAGCAATATCTCTGCTGAGTATATACCCCAACGAAGTAAGAAACATAACACAAATTGATGCATGTACCCCAGTGTTTATGTCAGCACCGTTCAAAATAACAAGAAACTGGAAACAGCCCAAACCTCATAGTAAAAGAATGGATAAAGAAACCTTGGCATAAACAGCCAGTGGAGTACTATGCATCACTGAAACAATGATGAAGCCACAAACAACTTCATGGCATGGATGGACCTGGAGAACATTATGCTGAGTGAAGTTAGTCGGTCACAAAAAGACAAATATTGTACAAGACCACTGATATAAGTATAAACACCAAAACAAAGACAGATAGTAGCTCTCAATTCATGCAATTATTTAATTCAGCTTCCCAGGCAATGTTAGGTGGTGGTATGACTGTCCTAATGATTGTAGCCACTCCTTTTCTTCATTGCTGCCACCCTAGTGCAAGTCTTGGACTAGCGTATGAGCTTCCTGCCTGGTATCTTTCTACTGTTCCAAGACACTCTCCTGTACTCTGCTGCACAAGACCTCTTTAAAGTATTGAAAAACAATGATGTTATTTTGAGGACTAACGTGATTGACCCAAGCCATGTGATTTTCAATGGCCTCATGTGTGTGTGAAAGTTGAAGATTGAATAAGGAAGACTGAAAAACAATCGATGTATCTGAAGTGTGGTGCAGGCAAAGAATATTGAGAGTCCGTGGCCTGTTAAAAGGACAAACAAATCTGTCTTGGAAGAAGAACCACCATTATGCTCCTTAGAAACAAGAATGGCCAGACTTCGTTTCATGAACTTTGAACATGTTGTCCGGAGAGACCAGTCCTGGAGAAGGACATCATACTTGGAAAGCTGAGGGACAGTGAAAAAAGATGGAGGCCCTCATGAGGTGAATGGACACAGTGACTACCAGAATAGGCTAACGTTTAAGAACAATTGTGAGGATGGCGCAGGATCAGACAGTGTTTCCCCTTCTGTTGTGCATAAGGTCATTATGGGTCTGAATCAACTCAATGGTACCTAATAGCAGTCACTTCGCACATCATAGTTTCACGTCTCTTTAAAAATCACAACGCTAAAAAAAATCACAGGGATAAGATTCACTTACTTTGGACATCATTAGGAGGGACAATCACTGGGGAAGAAAATCATACTTAGTAAAGTAGAGGATTGTTAGTTTAAAAAGTGGGAGACCCTTAATGAGATGGATAGATACAGTGGTGTAACAAAGGGCCCAAACAAACAACAATCATGACGATCCAGGACCATTAGTGCTTCAGTCTGTTTCTCATTGGTTGCTATGAGCCAGGGTTAACTCCAAGACACCCATCAACAACAAGTTAACCACCTAAACTCCACAGTGGCTTTCTATTACACTTACATACAGTCTGGATCCCCTTGCCTTGTCCGCTAAGAGCATAGAGGCATCTCAAACTACTCTTCTCTAGCCTCATTCTTCTCCTGCCACACTTTCTGATCTTTGAACCTATTGAGCTTCTTAATGCTACAGGTTTTCTTTTCTTGCTGTTTCCTCTGCTCTTTCCCCAATTCTTCAGTCAGTTCCTTCTCTTTGCTCAGGTCTAAAGTTCTCAGATAAGACATCCCTGACTAGACTCTCTAAACAGACACCCTACCCACCGTCTAAGATAAGCTCTAAAGGATTCTCCACCTGGTATTTCTTTCATAGTGCTTTATCTTTGTGTGGAATTTTCATGTTATTTATCTGGTTTCTTCTTCATTGTCTCTCTACTCCCTGGAATGCTTATCACAGTATCATCCTCCTCCTCCTCCTCTTACTACTACTCAAGATTTTGATCAATGCATGCATTCTCGTTTGTGCAATACTTTTATAAGAAAAAGTAGGCAGAAGTCTAGTATGATGAAATGACAGTATATGTCACACTCAGTGATCAAGGCATGTCACAGCATTATTTGGCATTTCAAAATTTAGAATCAGAATTTCTAAAGAACTGTCATTGTATTTTGAGGAAAAGACAGTAAGTAAGGCAGATCAAATACAAAGTTAGGACATAATTTTAAATGCATCTATTGCAAAGTATGATTATCCATGTACATAGAAGAACACTTTCTGGGACATTTTAGACCCTTGATAAATATTTGTTGAGAATAGGAACAAATAGATGAATGATTGAACTGAAAGTCTCCAAATGTTTAGACCAAAGATATAAAACTGCTTAAATTTTAACCAATGGGGATCTATTTGTTACAAAATAAGAGTTCTCTTGAGGTTGGAATAAAGTTTACTTGAGACTGTCCCACAGTAAAGAGAGCTAGCTTGGTCACCTTAACAATAGAAGCAAAGGAATAATCCCTTCCTACATCTCCCTGGGTGTTTGGACAGGTTCTTGTTCTTATTATTGGCTCAGTGAAAAGTGAGAACCTTACTTGCTACCTTACTACCTCATTGTTGTTGATATGTGTCATTTGTTTGGTTCTGATAAATAGTGATGCTACAACAGAAAGAAACCTTGCCAGGTCCTGTGCCTCCCTTCACAACCTTGCTTTATTTGAGCCCACTAGAAGAGCCAAACAAATCAGAACAACAAATAAGTATTAGTCTCAAGCTTTCAAATACGTGATACGTGATTATCCCACGATAATAATTTTGCATTAGCTTGATGTTTCTTGACTCTTGTGCAATACTTGGTCAATACTTTGGTCTTATTAAATTCACCACAATCACACACAGACAAACCCATTGTGATGTAGTAGATTATGACTCATATTGACCCCATATAGGGTCTCTGAGGCTTTAAATCTTTATGGGAGAAAATAGTCTCATCCTTTTTATTCTTATTAGATGGTAGAAGCTAAGTTATTAACCAAAAAGAGTAGGATTTTCTATTAATGTGACTTATACTAATATTACCTGTTTTTTAATAGCCAATCTGAGGAAAATCAAGGTCAATTGACTAGACTTTGTGTTTTTAAGAAATGCTAAACCAAAATTTTAAGGAAACACACACATCTGTATTTAATGGATTAGGACAAACTAAAACACCGAAATATAACAAGATAAACTACTATATTTAAAAGGCTGGTCATGAATAAAATACCACTCATAGTAATATTTCCAAATAGTATCTTACCAATCCACCACCAATGACAGCTATCTTCTTCCTTTGAATGCCAGATGAATCCATAACTGCTCCAGTGTTTTTCATAAATGTTGCTGCTTCTGCCTCTAGGAAACTGTTTCTCCAACTGACTGATTCCTGTCAGTCTTTATACTACCCAGAACTGCTTGCACTTGGGAGCAGCAGAGGCAATGTTTGGTTAAGGTTAATCTCTCTTGAATTTAGAGAATAGTGTTTAACCCCTTAGTAGTCTGCAGTAGAATCAACACAGCTTAAGAAAAAGGGTAGTTTCTTGCAATAAGCAAAACATTGTTAAAGTCAGCTAAGCAAAGTGTGAGACAGTAAAAGTTCAAAAGGCAGCTTTATGACTTTCTTTCCCTGCCGACACAGCACATATTCTTTCTGTTTCATTTTCACTCAAGAATAACCATAAATGAAACTCCCCTGGTGTGAAGTCACAAGTACTTTGTGGAACACCTACTCCACACATATGGGCTATTATTTTATTGACATTTAAGGTTTAGGATGACTCTGAAAATAACTCTCAGGCAGTGCCTATGTGGGGCCACCCCATGGCAGGAGTGCCTTCCAAGGGCTGCTAGGTGAGAACCAGAGGCCCCAACGGCAACCCAGCCACAAGAGAGATGCCACTCCAGTATCTTGGTCGGGTCAGGAAGGTGTGGGTGGTCAGGGAGAGCCCAGGAGAGGGCCTGAAGGTGCCAGTGCTGGACAGATGGGGGTGGGGGGGATGGGTACTGCACAGGTTAGCAGGGCACCCACCCAGGGCAAGCAACCAGTTTTGTAGGTTCCCTGATGGTGGGGAAGACTTGGTTGGGAAGAGGAACCCCCAGTCAAGAGACACACTAGACATAGCCAACAGGCAGTGAGCGATTGCGAGGGGGTGGTACCTGTGCTGAAGTTCTGGCATGGCTCCAACTCTCGTAAAGGAGGATCTTACGTAATGACCTGGCCTTTGGAACTTAACTCTTTCAACAAATGAGAAGCAAGTATACTTGATTCTTTGGTTAGAATTTATACTGTTGTGGGAATAAAAAGAATCTTAGCAGTAGCCAAACTGTGATCAAGTATGGCTATACTAAGCTAAGTTAGATGTATGTGTTCCTTGAAGATGTGTGGGCAACAGTGCTTTTAATAGGTTTAGCTGGTTTTAACGGAACTGCTTGGAACAGTGATTCTCAGATTTTATGAACTAGTGGAGGAGTGAAAATTGCAAAACAAACTTTAAAGATTGACTTAGAGTTATTAACATTCAATTTTACTGAAAGTTCTTCTAGGTTTTCAAACTTTTGGAGTACAATTTTCATAATATGAGGGGTACCTAAAAAACAGAATTTTTTTTCAAAGCTATGTATGTAATTTTTTTTTTTTTACTAAACAACGTTATAACTTCCAAAGCACTCACCATTACACTTAATACAATTGTCAAATCTGCGATTCCATTCTTGGAAACATTTTTCAAACTCACCTGTTTGAATGGCTGACAACACCTCCCTCTCTTTTTTTCTTCACTTCTTCTACATCATCAAATTGCTGTTCTCTCATGTCCCTCTTCATTTGCAGAAACAAAAAGAAGTAATAAGGAGAGAGGTCAGGTGAGTAAGGTGTGTAGGGCAAGAGAGGCATGCTGTTTGGGGCCAGAAAATGGCACACTGTGATGGCTGAATGAGCAGGTGCATTGTTGTGGTGGGAAAACTAGTCACCCATCTGCCACAAATCAGGCCTTTTGGGGGGCACACTGTTATGCAGTCTTTTCAGAAACTAAGTAGAAAGCGTGACTAATAGTATGCCCTGGTGGAACACACTCAAAATGCACTACGAGTCAACATTTTTATCCCTTGGGAAGTTGATGGATGTCCAGAACGAAGCTTGTCATCAATTGACATTTCACCTTTTTTGAAAGGAGAAAACCACTCATACACTTGAGTTTTTCCCATAACGCTGTCTTTGTAAACTGTGTTCAACATCACAACAGTTTCTGCGGCATTTTTCTTGAGCAGGAAACAAAATTCCACAGCTGCATGCTGTCCTCTTAAATCAGCCATCACAAAAAAACGAGGTTCGAGCGACACTGATTTTATTAAAATATCCACTGTGACAAGAGATAACCTTCCCAGGTGATGCCACTGGTTGCACTAACTCAAAGTGAGTTGTTCGATGCTAACCTTGCTGGGAAGAATGCATAATATGAAAGTTCAGCTCCACCCAGCACAATTCCATTGTTTTTTTTTCCCTTCAGGTACCTCCTTGTACTTTGCAATTGCTTTTTAAAATCTAATTTGGTTCTATTGTAATATCATCCATTTCATTTGCTTTTTGTCATTCTTTACCTTTCTTAGGTTGGCCAGTAGTTTATCAATTTTGTTAACCTTTATGAAGAACCAACTTTGTTTTAAATTGATTTTCTTATCGTTTTAAAACTTTTCTGATTCATTTATTTTTGCCATAATCTTTATTAAATAAAGATAAACATAGACTAAGAATCAAAGGATGAAAAACAGATATCACGTTAACAGCAGTGTAAAGAAAGCTGGAGTAGCAACATTAACCTCAGGCAAAAATAGACATCAAAGTTAATGACATATCAAGAGACAAATAAGGTTACTATATAATTATGAAAGCTTTAATTGAACAAGAGGCTATGACCATAATTACTATATATGCACCAAATGAAGGACCATTGAAATGCATCAATCAAATTCTTATAGAAATGAAGAAACAAGTAAATCATAATACAATAATACTAGGAGACATCAATGCATCACTTCCAACTAAAGAAAAAATCACCTGGAAAGAAAATCAGCAAAGATTCTGAAAAATTAAATAACACCGTCAACTTGATTGCATAAACATATATAGCACACTTCTCCCAACAAACACTCACTTTCTGCTCTACTGCTCACCTATTCCAGAATAGATTATAATTTAGGTCATAAAGTAATCATCAGTAAATTTGAAAACATTGATATAATGCAATCCATTTTTCAGATCACAATGCTGTGAATTTAGAAATCAACTACAGATCAACTGAAAGATCAACTCCAAACCCAAGAAAAGTCCAATCAGCTCCAAACACAGAAGGTTTGCAACCAAACAGCATATGGTATTGGGTCACTTGTATATGTGTATACGTATGTGTGTTTGTATTCATATGCATATGCACTGGGAATTCTGGTATAGAAAATGTTATGTCCTTAAAACATGAATTAATATGTCCCTGATATCCTTTGGGTGTATTTAGTTCAATTTAAGCTCAGCTACGAGTTATTTGATGGAGTTAAGACCTCAGAGGCATGGTTGAATCACATCCTCCAAATTAAAAAATACCAAATGTATGACACCACATTTGTGTGAGAGCATAGAGTTATTAGGCACTAATCCATTAAGATGTCTTATTTAAGAGAGAAGAGCATGTGATTTTCGGTGAGATGGTCCTGAATTTTTAATCAAATGTCTAGGAGAGTTTCAGTATAGAAAACCCCACATGTCATGGGCCTGGGGAGAGATGAGGGGTACAACTCCAGTAGGTTGCTGGTTTCTTGAAGTTTGGTGATGAATGAAAGATAACGGTGGTGATATGCTTGTTTACAAGGACTGAGTCAGACATGTGCTATGTCCAGTTAAACAGGTAATGTCTATGTAATAGGAGTTTATTTGGTTAGGATATGCGAGGGTTGGGATCATTAAATAAGTATTTCATGTAGGGTTGAATGTAAAATATTAAGATTTACTAGCTTATATGTATGGTGAAGATAATTGAATGTGGAATAAATATAATGTTATATGTAAGATTATACATATATGTATATATAGGAGAGCACAATATGCACAAAATACATAGTGAAGCAAATATTGTATTCAGGGAATAGTTTAATAAGAATATCAGCTTTGGGTGTTGACAAGGGGAAAGATTGCTCCTTTCCTGCATAGGGTATCTATAGGAGAGGTTTATTCTGTCTATTGTTTACAAGACCATAATAATGCTTATACTACAAAGGCTCTTCATTTTAATACGTTGTTTTCAAAAATGCTAATGGTTGATATGAAGATGAGGATAATGGGAAAATAGAAAATTGAAACTAGTTGACTGATGACGATGAAGGGGGTGCTCTACAGATTTAACTCCAATCTATGTTAGGGTTAAGTAAAGCTGTTACTAGTATTCAAAATAATATTTGGATTAATGGGTGGAATATTAAGATTCATTGTTGTGATCTATGGAGAAGCAGGGAGATAGCTACAATGAGGATTGAGCATGAGAGCTAACACACCTCCACATTTGTTAGGAATAGATTATAAAAGGGCTTCTGTGAATAGAAAGTACCATTCAGGTTTACGTGGGGTAGTTTATTAAGTGGGTGGGGGTGGGGGGACATGTGAAGATGTAGTTGTCTGGGTCACCTAATATATCGGGGGCAAAAAGAACTAGTGTTAATAGGAAAGAAATTAGTATTAAAAACTCCTGGGAGATCTTGGATAGTATAGTAAGGGTGAAATGGGAATTCATCAGAGTCTGAGATTAATTTTGATGCATTCTTAGAGACTGTTTCATGGAGAAAAAGAAGGTGGACAATTGTCAGAACTGCAATAATAGATGGGACAATGAAACAGAGGGAGAAAAAGTGAGTGAGAGTAACTTTATCTACTAAAATCCACCTCAAATTAATTCTATTAAGTCTGTTTTAATGTACAGGATGAGTGAGAGAAGATTTGTGATTAGCATAGCACCTCAGAAGGGTATTTGTCCTCATGGGAGTATATATCCTATAAAAGCTGTTGCTATGACTGCAACTAGAAGTGCAATTCCAATGTTTCATGTGTCTAAGTTAGGTAAGAAACGTAATAAGTTCCTTGTCTGACATGAATGGAAAGGCAGAGGAGAGCTCTTTCTCTGGTTCTAGTCTCCATGGAAGAGATGTGAGCTCTTGAATGCTTTGTCTGATATTTCTTTAATTTACCCTTCAGTTATACAACTGCCCTTTAAGACCCACTCAGTTGTGGAGCCTAGTCCCCCACAGTCTCGGAAACTCACAGAGGCAGGTCTACCCTGTCCTACAGGGTCTCTATGAGTTGGCAGTGAGTGAAGGAGTTCACATTGAGCTGCTCCATGGAAGAAAGATGA